ATCTCTTCAACCCGATTTTTTTGAGCGAAACCGTTTGTGGGAACAGGGCGTGTCCTTACATGCCTCAGAGCGCTATGGAATCTGTCGAACCAGCTCGGCCGTTGTTTGGTTGAGGCATAAGCAGACTTAGGCAGAAAACTGTGCAGTTAGTCTATGAGCTGCTGTCATCCATTCAAAGGCCCCTGCAATAGTTTGAGAAAGCCACGAAGTTCTTTGAAGCACAGCTGTTGCAGTTCAGACGTTCGGTGACATCGATCGGTCTCGTAACGGTCTGTAGTGGTCCTTGCCTGCCGGACGCCTGACCTTCTTGTCGTGGCCTCAATCCGTCTAGACCTCAAGGTCGCGGCGGTCGCCAAACTTACTGGCGTGAAACAGAGGCCGTCAACGTTGATTTCTACCCACACGGTGTCAAAACAATCACAGGCCGACCTAGCCAATGAACGCGCGCGCTCTCTCTTTGTCTACTGACCTGACTGCTCTCAAACTCGCATTTGGGACCCGGTCAATCTCCTGAGTGGTCGTGTTCTCTCAAGTCAGACTTTTTCCATCTATTCTCCGTTCCTGTGTATGCAATATACTATTCCCTCTTCTCTGGCCTTCCCAAGACTTCTTCTCTACTAAGTAACCAAGGTTTGAAGATCGCAGTTGTTGGATTTAACTCGCTTAACCCCCTGCGAAATGTGTGACTGTGCGACGTGATATGAACACTCAGTTTCTGATGTGGCCTGCTGTCCCTGCGATAGGTCTACTCGATCTGGGACCATTGCCAGTTCACTGCTTGCATTGGGTCTGACTCAACCATCAACTTGCCGGCAACGTGACGCCGATCGATATTTGATATCTTCAACTATTGGCCGCAACCGGACAAACGCCAGGCGCACCGCAGTTCCGTGTAGCAATTGCTACCGATGTAGATGCTGACACCGTATTCTGAGCCGTTTGTATGCTTTCTTACTGCTGTCATGTGGGAAACTCTCATTTTTAGTTATCGAATTTCAGAGTCTCGTAGCCTACTGCCATATCTGCGCAGTTCGCAGTTTATGTTAAATATCCAGCTCCATCAAGATTTTTTACGTACCCTGCGAGCGCTTCCGGGCGCACTGACCTCAGAGCTGTACCAGCTGCAACGTGGGCAGATACGCGCAACTGAACGGTCACAGCCGTCTCTGCCTCGTTTCTACAAAAAAAACTAGCCAAAAACAGCATAAACAGCCGACATCACACACTCTCTCCCCCTTTCTCTCAATTTTTATCTCTCTCCTCCCCTTCTTTTCTAGTTGCATGACCTTATACTGCCAGCTGAAGCGCTGGCCCCGTCGGCGACCACTGACGCCCTAGGCAACAGCCAACTGTTATCCTTGGAATATGTTCTTTATTTCAATTTATTTTTTTGCTAGTCAGCACTTAGCCTGATTTTTCACTGGCTAACGCATGCTCCATCAAACGAATATCAGCCAGTAGAAGCGGAGCAGAGAGTTGCAGGAAGCCGTCGGGAAGAAAGCAACATGATTACTGGAACCAGAGTTCTATTAAAGATCATTTCTGCTCACCGGAATGTGGTTCTTTCTCTGCTGATGTTTCGGAAAGCTGGGCCAGCTGTCCTTTGTCAAAACGAGAACTGACTTTATCGATCAGCAATTCAAATTTGTGGCTGGTGTCTGTTGGCCGTAGGCTGATCGATTTTTTCCTACGCTCGCTGTATGGCCTGGGCGTAGATTTTGGCAAAACTTGACGGCAACTACTGTTGTCTTACGTCCTCCCGGTAGAGGATGCTGATAATCCTGCTCCCTCTTCCGATGGTGTCGTCACGGGACCGT